AGAACAAGGTCTGAGTCGCAGGAGGTCAGGGAACTAAGACTCGCTGAAGGGACCGCACAGGAACAGCCAGTGCAGCCGGAAAGTGCCGTGTCCCAGTATGTCAAAGGCAGAGCCATGGGTTCAGCTGGCGCGGAGGCGAGGAGGACTGATTCATAACGTGGAGGTTATCGGTGGACTTCACAAGAAGTTTCAGTGGAGCACTGGGGACAAAACACAATTGTAGTCAGAGGGGGAGAAATAGGAAGAACTGGGAAAAGCAATTATAGTCAATATTATCAAAACAAAATTATGAAAATATAAAATATGCTGTATTTGTGCTGATTGTTGTTTGAATGAATGTCCCAGAATATGATCTTCTGGGTGGTGAGACTAGGCTTTGTTGTCGATGCAGCACAATTATAGGATAATCAGTCAGATACCCCTTCTAGAAGCCCCTGATGGTCTCTCCACTGTACATGGATCATCATGGAACATGATTGTATTAATGAAGTAAGAATGCAAAATTTATTGGGTTAATGTAAAATATAAACTCTAGAATACTTGGAAACTAGAATATTATGTAATCCTTTGTGTTATTTGAAATGACACAAAATCAACAAAATACAAATTGTCAAAGGCAGTTTCTATTTTTCAGTCTTTTCCATCGCCTCATTAAATGATCTCAGCAGTGTTATTGTGATGAAAATAAATGCCATGTGGTGAAACAGTTCCAGCCGTAACACTTAACCTTTGCCCAGTGTTAAGGCAGGAAGGTTAGTTTCTAAAAGGGGCTCAAATTAAGGGGAAATAAGTGCTAGGTTTCAGCCTCTGCCTAAAAAAACCAGTGGCATGAATAACTTTCAAAATGGGGTTGAAGTGAAGGACAAGAGATGGCCACACCACATCCTTCAGCATGGGCCTAGATGATAGGTTTCAATGATAGGTTTGTTGATATATTGAAGACAATGGCTCTCTGCTTGGGAATGTCTACCATCGGGCAGATTTGATCAGTATCTTAGTCCATTTGGGCTTCTATGACAAAATACCACAGACTAGGTGGCTTATAAACAACAGAAGTTTACTTCTTACAGTTTTGGAGGCTGGAGATATTCAAGATCAGGGTACCAGCATGGTCGGTTTCTGGGGAAGGCCCTCTTCCAGGTTGGAGACTACTGACTGCTTGCTGTGTCCTCACATGGTGGAAAACGTGTGGGATCTGTGGGGTCTCTTCCCATTCATGAGGGATTTACTCTCAAAATCTAAGACTCCACTTCCTAAAAGTGGGTAGACTGTGAGATTACTTTGCACACAGAAAGGAAGTGCTGGAGAAGATGGAAGAGAACCCACCTAGGTAAGATTGCAGGGTTTTAGACCATCAAGATAAACTCAGGTGTGTGGTTTCTCTAGATAGGGTTGCTGGCTACTTCCAAACCTCTGGTTGATTTTCAGCTCCATATTTTCTACTGCATGTGATACATCTTCCCCGGGCTCCCAGAGATAGCATAGCTTCAAAATACCTCTAACTAACTAAACCTAGTTTACTCTTCTCTTGCCTTTATTTCTGCAGTGGTAAGCACCGATCACATCGTTATCCAAGAGAAAACCTGGGAATTATCCTGGACTTCTCGCTCTCTGCCTAGCGCCTTGTCATTTCTTCTGTCCCCAGTGCCATCTATTTCACTCCTTATATCTAGAATCAGAGCTCTTCTCTTTAAAAGTACCCTGCTTTAGTTTCTACCTTTATCATTTTTCATTTGGATTAATCCAGTAGTCTCCTGACTCTTCCCTACCCCACCTCACCCTCCTTCCTCATCCTCAGCGCCTCCAGCGTGAACTTTCCAAAGTCCTTCAGTGGTGCTAACTCTTTGGCATGAGGCTCTCCCTGATCTGGCGTCTTCTCCCTCTCCAGCTCCTCAGCTACACCCTGGGGCCCAGTCTCGCTGAACTGCTCTCTGTTCCCTTGTGTGGCTGGCTCCTTAAGCCACAGGTCCTTTGTATTTGCATCTGCCTGGCAAGCTCTTCCATAATCTTCAGATTAAGCTCACCTCTGGGGAAGCCTGCTTTCACACTTCAGGCGGATTTATGAGTCTCCTTTGAGTTTTCCTCACCCTGATACTTGGCAAAGTACAGCTGCATAATTTCTTTTTCTGTCTCCCTCATAAGATAGTGAGCTCTGAGGCCAGGATCAAGTATAAAATGATGGCAGAACTCCACATCTAGTGAGCTCTGTTCACTGACCACCACAAGGGAAGACCATGCTGACTCACAGAAGCAGTGGTAGCAGAGGGTCAAGCAGTGGCGTCCAGTGCCCAGCCTCTGCAGTACAGTCGCAGCTGGCGCCTGGGACCTGAGCTAGTGGCAGTAGGAGTAGCCCTGCACGGCAGTCTCTGAGCATTATTCCCAGATGCACAGCCTCCAACTCTGGCTTTCCTGGAGATTCTATGAACTGCATAATATCTTTGAATAGCTTTTTCATTAAACCAATGAGATTGGCTTCTGTTGTCTGCAACTAAGAGCCCTCACCCAGACCCCTGAACCAGGAGGTCCTCTGAGCCAGGTCACCCCATGTCTGCGGTTCCTGGTCTCTGTCACATGGAGTCACTATGGAGAAGCTGCCTCTTCACTTCAGGCCTCCACCCTGGTGCACTCGACAGCCAAGCCTCCAGGTCCCAGGTCACTGTGCTGACTGGCTTGTTCCTTCAAGGGGCCGGAATGATACTCCTTTCTAGATCTGCTGAGGGTACCCCATATGTGCTGGGTTTCCCAGCTTGCAGCTCTTAGTAATTCTGTCCTTTTGTCTCACACGCAGATATCTTCTAAGGTGCCATGTGCTCCAGGTTTGCTGGGTCAAGACAAGGTGGTAGTGTTAAACATGCCACAAATTCTTTGATACCCCTCCCACCAAGAGATGAATTCTATTTCCTTCCCTTGAACCTGGTCAGTCTTTGCGATGGAGTGCCGCGACCTGCGTGGGGAAGTGCGGGATCCTGAGAGGGAGCGACGGGAGATAAAGAAATACACAGAGACTTATAAGACAGTTAAAGCTGGGGCCAGGTGGGACACTGCCCTCGGCTGGAGAGACAGTGACCCCGCGCAAGCACAGCGTCTTTATTATATACATCAAGGTAACAATCCTTCATGGCAACTGCGGGTAACTGAAAGGAACAAAAGCAATCCCTTGGCAAGCTTTCTCAGAACATACTGCTTTGCTGCATGGAGGGCTAAATGACTTCCAAGGTCAGGTCAGAAAGGCTGTGCAGGTTCTGTAGGTTCTCATGGGACGTCTGTCACATGCTAGGAAAGAAATCAGGTGACTCCGAGTCACCATGTTGAGAGCCCATGTGGAGAGACCACATGGAGAAGAAGTCTGAAAAGCCCCAGCTGAGTTCTCCCAGCCGAGGCACCAGGCACCAGGCCCCTGGCACCAGGCACCAGGCGCAGGAGGGAAGACGCCTTAGAGACGACACTGTGCCCTGCCCTGTCTGACAGCAACTGCCCGAAGATGGAAGAACCGCCCCCTGAGCCCAGTCAATCCCCAGTACAGGAGCAAAATAATAAACCACTGTTATTTAAATGACTATTTTAGGGTTCTTTCTTACAAGGCCTTCGATAACCAAATACTCTCTGACATTCAGTGACAAAACGAATAAAATCTGGGCAGCATGGGAGGGGAGGGGGAATTACTGTTTAATAGGCACAGAGTTTCATTTGGGGAAGAGAAAAAATTTCTGGAGATGGAGAAGGTTGCACTACAATGTGAATGTACTTAATGCCACTGAATGCTTCAAAATGGCTAAGACGGTAAAATTTTTATGTATATTTTACCAAAATTTTTAAAAAGAAAAAAATTGGGGCAGTAACCCATTTTAGAATATATGTAGAAAAAGGCATTTCTTTTATCAAAACAGTTGGGCTCTATCCAGGACTGCACCCCAGGAATTGAAAGTATCAACCAATGATGCATTAATAAGTAGAACAAATTGACGTTTTCCTCTCCACCCCCCTCTAAAATCAATTAATAAAATAATAAAAGTGGCTAATGTTTATTCACTGAGCACCTTCTATGAACCCAGTGACAGGGATGCAGACAGCGGGAACCAGGCAGTCTCTCTTCTCATGTGTCTTACAGTGTAATGGGAAGAGGTAGATAAGCAGATGAAAACAGAGCAGGTTGGGTGCTGAGATGAAAGCAGGGTCCTGTGGTAGAGAGAGGCTGGGTTCCTGCTGCACGCTGGGCCCACAGAGGGGCCCTGAGCGGATGTTGGTGCCATTTACTAAGGAGGGAGGAGCAGGTTTAAGGGGGCAGAGGTTTGGGCTGGCCATGTTTCTTTTGAAATGTTATAAAATAGGTGGAGATGTAAGTCTGGAGTTCTAGGAAAGGTCACGGGCGGAGATAAGAATTTGTGAGTCATTGGACTGTGGGTGGGATTTAAAGCTGAGTCTAGATGAGGAAATTTGCACCAGGGGAAGTGCAAAGAGAAAGAAGTGACCAGAAGGAAGAGGCTGGGAAGGACTCTGAGACAGCAGACAGGGAGGCAGCAGGTCCCGCAGCAGAGTGTGATGCCCTGAGGGGCTGAACGTGAGGTTTGGTACCAAGGAGGTCAGTGGCTGTGTGGTGCTGTCTGTGGAGAGACTTCAAGAAATGGTCAAGGACAGTGTGTGAAATGAGGAACTAAAGACAAATTTTTCAAGAACTTTTAGTTCTTAAAGGAGCAGAGAAATGGGATGAAAGCTGTGAGGTCAGCTATTTCCCTGTGCCAGGGACTATGCCGAATATTTTATATCAGTATGTAGTTTCATTTTCTCAAAATTCCAGGTTTCATTTTAAAGATGGACATTGAGATACAAAGTAGATAATAAATTGCCCAGGTTCACTTAATTAGTAGGAGGTAGAATTAGGGTTTGAAAGTAGGCTTATGGGACTCCAATGTCACTCAACCAGCTAAACCTTTAGTGTAGGCAATACACCCACTCCTCTATGAAGAGATAATTTAATCACATTTCTAATAAATAAAAACATGCATGCTGGAATAAAATATTTATTTGAGAATTATACAGTAAAATTCCAATATGGCATAAACTTTGTAGAGACCTTTAAAAATATCCAATAAAATTTGCTTTCCCTCTCCCCCCCAGAGAAGTACTAATTATGCAGCATCATTTCAATTAAAATGGAACTCCTGAGAGGCAAAGAGTAGAAAGAAGAGAGATCACAGTTTTATATCCCAGTTTTATACATTGTACTGAGAAATAAGAGACCTTCCCACATGTTGGCTAATCCAGTCAAAATAATTGGCCACTTTGGTGTAAACACCTGGAGAATCTGGTTTTCCACAGTTCTCACCCCAACTCACAATACCCCAAATATAAGTCACGTTTTTGACATCTTGACAGACTAAGGGGCCTCCAGAGTCCCCTTTACAGGCATCGATGGAACCGTCACTTGTACCTGAGAAAGACAAAGGAAAAAGAAAATCACGCATTTACTTACACTGTCAAGGCCACCATGCCGCCTGCCTGCCTCTCCCACCAATGCGAGTCATCGTGGCTTTATCACGCTCGGCTAACTGAAAATAACACCTGCACCCCCCTGCAGGGCCCCCGGCTGGGCCCACGGAGTCGAAGGATGCAGGCTGGGAAATATTTGGCCTTATTCTCTAAATGTAGCAAGTGCTCTCCCCGCTTTCTCCACCTTCCATAGGTACATACTATGGTGAGACTGCACTCTGACAGTAGCATCAGATGCTGAGTGGGAAAGAAACAGGCATACCGAGTGCTTACTGAGTGCTTATATGTATTAGTCATTCATTGCTTTAATCCTCAGCACAACCCTATGAGGTTAGTATCCTTATAATCCCTATTTTAAATGAGACAAATAACGTATAGAAGGGTTATAAATATTAATCTCTTGTCCAGCTAGTAAGTGGCAGAGTCTGGACTTAGCCAGCCAGCCCTCGGAGCTGGTAGATTTTTATACTGTTTTTCCCTTTCGTCTTCTATAAGCCTGAATCCCATTTTAAGATGGGAGGGCACAGGAAATGGTCTATTTACTTTCTTCTCACTCTTACGACTTCTGGGATTTTTAAATCACTGTCTCCAAGAACTTATAGGATGTCAGTAATCTGCCTTTTTCTATAATACACTACTTATGGGTGGTTTCAATAAAGCATCGTAAATGCACTACCTGGCTGGTTCCCTGCCTTTGGGTCACCACCAGAAGTAGGAACTGCTGTATTGTGTTAGGTTGGGGCACTGGCATCACCAAGCTATCGAAGGAGACGGTGGGAGGTATTGTAAGAAGGGCAACGGGATTTCCGAGGAAGGAGAATTTAATTCCAATGGGATGCATGTGAAATGAGGTCTTTTGGATTTTTATTTTGAAGGTTGGGTTTTGATCCCGGATACACCAGTTGTCCTTAAGACTTTGGCCAAATTACGTAACTGTTCTGCATCTTAGTGTCCTCATCTATTAAGGTCCCCAATTTCTCGGATAAAGAAACTTGCTCAAGGTCACAGGAGTACTAGTGAGTAAGGACAGAGATGTAAACGCAGGCAGTCTGGTTCCAGAGTCTGTGTTCTTCATCACCTTGCTACACTGCTGTATAACAGCGTAAGGAAGATTTTTCCTCTTAGTATTAAAAGGAGGAAACTTGAACTAAGGGGAAGGCACTGAACGAGTTTGATAATGCAACAGCCAGAAGGCCAAACGGAAGGGCTTGGTCCGCAGAGGAAGGGGCCTAATTCAGCAGGGAGGAGGCACATTTGTTAGGGAGTATGCAGTACAATATATCAGAGAAACCACTCAGCACTTACCTGCACACTCCATTTCTTTCTCAAAGAACCGCCCTGGGTAAAACTTAGAGCAGTTACCTATTAGGTGAACTTCACCCCATTTAAGTGAAAAGGCTTTCTGGTTATCTAAACAAAGTGAGAAAACAGACATTTAGAAGCCACAAATGAGAAATCTAAATAAATGCCCATCGTTAGTCTCATCATTTAGTAAACCATTAGGAAGATATAAGAATATATATATTCTTAAATACATTTATAAACTTTTGAGGATAATTCATTAGCATATTTAATCATACACTGCTCATATCTCCAGTTCTCCTTCAAGTCCTACTTCGAGTTAGTCTCAGGGTGGCTACCTTCCTCAGGATAAGAGCTTTTTAAAAATTAGTAATTTATTCTCCTAGCTCAGGAGAAGCCTTTAAAACCTGGGAGCTGCTGTACCGCGTGAGGATTTTTTGACTCAGCAGATTGTTCCCTCCCCTGAACTCCTGTTTTGTATCAGTTCTTGAGGCACTTGTCACACTGTGCTGTCTGAAGGTAGCATTCCTGACTGATGGCTCCTACAGAGGAGGAGAGGAATCCCTTGAGAGCTGACCTTTGTCTTTCAATCTTGTAGGCATGGCACCCCCTGTTTTTTGACTGGGTTCATATTTTTCATCAGTGAAATCCTAGCACTTTAGCATTACTGCCTTGCATTCATAGTAAGGGCTCAATAACAGTGTTTAAACCATATTTGATTAATAAATAAACCAATGCATAAGAACATATCTACATTTACAGAAAATATATCAAATGGAAAAACATGTTAAATGCCACAATCAGCCAAATTCAAGGTGTGGGAATTCTAAAATAAGAATGACCCAGTTTCTTTAATAAATACATTTAAATAGAAGAAAGAAGTAACTGTTCTAGATGAAAAGAGATTTAAAAAAAATAGCCACCAAGTGCAACATGTGGACTTTGTTTAGGCCCCAATGGAAATAATCTGATTATAAAAATATGTTGTAAATAATTGAGGAATATTAAACACGGGCTAGTTATTAGATGACATTGCCAAACCACTTTCATTTTTTGAGTCTGGAGAGTGGTGGATTTTTGTTTTTTAAGTCCTTACCTGGTAAATATATTTACTGGAGTATTCATAGGTGAAATTATATGATATCTGGGATTTGGTTTAATATGTTCCAGGAAAAAAATAACTATGTGTTGGGAATATGTTGAATAGCTCCTGATTGTCCTACAGATCCATTGTCTACCCTTCAATGCCCTACTTCCTGCCCTAAGAGCCTGACCTAGAGAAGTAAGGGATACTTCAGTAGGAATCCCTTAGCCTCTAGTTTCTACTTGGTTTCCAACAGAGGACCCCAGCAAAAGGGAGGGAGGGAAGGAGAGAAGCTAGCAAGATTGGGTCTGGCTATAACCTTCAACTCAAGGTCATTACTTCTCTCAAGGCAGCCTGCTATACTTAAGGCTCTTTCTCCTTCTGGTAGCTTCTCCTTCCCTTTACACCTTCAGATGTAGGAAAGGTGTCAGTTCTGGCACTATTAGATTTTGCATAGCCGTTGTGGTTCCCCAATCCCACACCTACGTCTTTGTAATTAAGTTCTTTATAAACAAATCTTCCTAATTATCCTATTGAAATAGCGATTGATTCAGAGGGATAAAACAAGAATGGTAGAATGTTGATAACTGGAAACAAGGATGAATAAGTAGGGTTATTATACGTTTACCTCTATTTCTGTGTATACTTATAAGTGTACATGAAAGGCTTTTGTGTGTTTTTTGTGTGTGTTTTTTTTTTAAAAAAACAACAAATATAAGAACATAATGCTTTCTGGATGAATTAATTACTACTAAAATTTAGTATTTTGTAAGTCTTGGGTATTCAAACATACCACAAATCCAGGTTAATTCATATATATTTTATACTTTTCAGTATGCCCATTATAAAAGATGTACTGCAATATGAGTCTATAAGACCAATGCAATGGAGTTATTTACAAAGAGAGTTTAAGAGGTCAGATGGAAGCTAAATTTCAAGGCTAACTCTTCAGGATGAAAGAAAAGCATTGGCTAATTTAATTCTAACCTAACCTCTCACTTAGCAGGTCTTTCTAATAATGTGTCCATAAGTGTCCACATCTCTTATTCATATGAATGTTTATCTCAAATCTTAGAGGCTGAAAGAATGAATTTTTTATGTTATCATTTTCTTTGTGGGATGAGGGGGTGTAGGACATGGAGAATGGGGGAAGGGAGAGGAGAGAGCAGAGGGCTGTGGGATCACTGACTCAGCATATACTTTGACTATCCCCACAAAAACCTATTTATCTTCCATCCAGATCTCTCCAACAAATCAAATCCATGTTACATGTCTCCCTGTCACTATACTTTTTCTTGGTAAATGGTTACCCATCAGCGTATGCCTTGGATCACAGAATATAGGTGTCCTTTGAAAAGTCAGCTCAGAACCAGCTCTGTAATTTGCAAAGGCCAGTGAAAAATGAAAATGTGAGGTGGGTCCCTTGCAAAAATTATTATGAATTTCATGATGGTGACAGCAGAACAGTAGACCCAGCATGGGTACCTCAGAGCCCAGTGTGCTGTCCCATACACAGGAGCTGGCCTCACTGGATGTTCCTTTTTTTAGATTTGATGCTATGTCCTCTCTGAACACTAGAAGATTAGCTCCTCTGCATTTCTATTCTCATTCATTTCCAACCCCTAGATTCTGATTAACAAATTATAAAATATATACCTCTTTCTCGACCCAAGCCAGAAACGATGCATTTATCACCAGGGTGGAATAAATATGGAGACCAGGGGACACAGGCAGGAACAGTAGTAGGCAGCACACAATTTGTTTGGGTTTTGAGTTTTTTCAATTCAATCAAAGCTATGTCATTTTGGAAGTTGCCTCCATTGTAGTTTTCGTGGATAATAATTCTATTGGCCGTATGAACCTTTATCTCAGAGTTAGGGTTTATCCAGTCTATTAATGATATCCATATTTGGTAACGGTGAATTTTACTGACTCTGTAATAAAAAAAAGGGGGTAAATAAAATATGTTAAGAAAGAAACTATAAACATAAAGTTCTGATGCTTCATCTTCGAATTCTCCCTTCTAAAGAACACTTTTCACTTTCCCAGAGTTCTTTTTTTAATTTCTGCTGAAGCAGCGTAATTATGTTTAAGGGCAGTGTTAAAGTCAGTGGGTAAGTGAAGAGAGGAATTATCTACCTAACTGCTTAATATCAGGGACAAAAAGAATTCGCTGACACACCTGCCTCTCCTGCTGCCTGGGAGCACTACCACCAACAGGAAAGGGCCTGGTTCAGCTCACTGAGACCCCAGATATCCCCCCCCCCCAGGGCACAGTCCTGAGGGGGAAGGGAGAACAGCTCACAGGAAGACATTACAAGAATAAAACTCTAAGAGACTATTGTTTGGGAACTGGAGGAAAAGCTGAAAACCCCTGATGGGGGCTGGGCAGGCAAAGTGCCCAGTGGGATGTTTTTTAATCGAACCCACTGAGCCCAGGCTGCTGAAATGGCAGAAAAGGCAGCAGGCGGAAATCAGTCTGAAGCTGCAGCAGGCCAGAGCCTGGGGACCTAGAATCAGAGGACAGGGTAGGGACTGAAGAGCTGGCAGTGAAGCAGAGACTAACTCCTGCAGAGTGAGCGCCTGACAGCGACACCTCTAAGTAAGGGGAGTGATACCCAGAGCTACAATAGCCATCCTGCACCCTAAAGACTCTACAGAAGACTGTGGAGCAAGACCAGGCAACTACAAAGTTGCCAAATGGCTGACAAGAGGAGGTGGCCCACTGAGAGCCTCAGATCAACCATCTACCTAAGGACACCAGAGACAAACCTAGATGGCTCCTCACATTGGGTGATACACAAGTACCTCCCAGGAGAACGGAAATCAGCACACAAAACAGTGAGCCTCAGGCAACATAGGCTGTCCAGAAGAAACCCACCTGATTGACTGTCTTTTTTTTTTTTCTGTTTTTGTTTTTTGCATTTTGTTTGTTTTTCTCTTTTTCCCTTAGGAAGAAGAGAAAGGGGGAGGGGAAATGTTTTTTCTTTTTAAATTTTATAATAAATAAAAAAATTTTTAAAAAAATTTTTTCCTTTTTTAAAAAAAGAATTTTGTTTTGCTTAGCTTGTTTTCTGTTTTGTTTCTCTGTTTTGTTTTGTTTTATCCTTGCTTCTACTATCAAGACTTTCTCGATATTCCCTGCTTAATGGCTGGGACTTTATCATCATAACCAACAAGTATACTGCTTTCCTCTATAGTTTCCCCCAAATCTCTTATTGGACTCCCTCCCTGCCCAGGCTTTATCTCCCTCTCTCTCCTCTCGATCCATTGGCATAATTTTTTTCCCCTCTTCTTTTCTTTCTTTCTTTAATTTTCCTCCTTTCTGTCTTCCTGTCTTTTTGTTCAATTGTTAGTTTCTCTTATTCTCTTTATTGTATTTTTATTTTTTCATTTTCAACTATTATCCTATTCCCATTCTCTCCCTTAATTTTTGCTGGCCCTTCCTTCAGAATCTTTTCTCTGCTTTTATACTCCAGTAGCTTCTCTATTTTTTATATTTTAGTTTATTATTATTTTTTAAATTTTCATCACTAATAACAACAATATACTTTTCTCTCTCTAAGCTTTACTTTTCTTTCCTTTCTTTTTTAACCTTTTTTTTTCTCTCTCTCTCTCTCGAATTTGTGTTCTCCCTTCACTCTCCCAGTTCTATTTTCACTTGGATTGTTTTCATTGTGACTGTCAAGATATTTTGTAAGATACCCCTTGTTTCCTGGAAGTTTAGTTGGGTATTGTCCTGCCTTGCCAGCACCCGTACAACAGCTTACACAACGAGGTTGGGCCTGAGACACACAGTTAGCCAACCTGAGAGGAGGGTCCTCCCAAGGACTGGTCAATGACACTCTAGACCCAACCACAACAGGAGAACCCAAAGAACCCACAAAAGGGACACCCACAAAAAGGACATGCCTAGAGCAAAGAGCTCAGAAGTATAAGGAAAACACACCTCTGGGCTCCACGGGACTCACAAGACAAAATCCCTCCCCACAAGACTGGGAGACAGCAAATATATCTAATATATAGATACAAACACTAAGACCTACCAAAATGGGGAGACAAAGAAACAACCTCCAAATTAAAGAAAAGGAAAAATCACCAGAAAAAGACTTTGATGAGATGGAGTTAAGCAAGCTATCAGCAACAGAGTTCAGAGTGTTGATTAGAAAGATGTTCAAGGAAATTAATGAGAAAAACAAGGCACTAGATGGTAAGATCGAGGAACTTAATGAAAACATGAAAAAAGAGATACATAACATAACCAAACTCAGACAGAAATAAAGAATGCTGTATCTGATATCAAGAATACACTGGAAGGAATTAAAAGCTGTCTCAATGAAGCAGAAGATAGAATAAGTGACTTAGAAGACAAGGTAGAAAANCAAGGTAGAAAAAGTCACTCAATCAGAGCAGCAAAAAGAAAAAACACTTAAAAAGCATGAGGACAGTCTAAGGGAGCTTTGGGACAACATAAAGTGAAACAACATTCGCATTATAGGAATGCCAGAGGGGGAGGAAAGAGAGCAAGGGATAGAGAACTTGGTGGAGGAAATAACAACAGAAAACTTCCCTAGGCTGGCGAGGGAGAAAGCCACACAAGTTCAGGAAGCACAGAGGGTTCCAAACAAGAGGGACCCAAAGAGACCCACTCCAAGACACATCATAATTAAAATGACAAATGTCAAGGACAAAGAGAGAATATTAACGGCTACAAGAGAGAGACAAGCAGTGACCTACAAGGGAACCCCCATAAGACTGACATCAGATCTCTTAACAGAAACTCTTCAGGCCAGAAGGGAGTGGCACGAAGTTCTGCAAGTAATGAAAAGCAAGAACATACAACCAAGATTGCTTTATCCAGCAAGGCTATCATTTAAA